ATACATTGTATCTCTCTAACTCCTGGCATAAAGGGGAAAAAAATGTTTGTTAAAAAAAAAAAAAAGATAACTAAATAAATATTAAAAAATAAAAGAAAAAAGAAAGAAAAAATACCTAGATCAAGGTTTGATCTAGTTCAGTGCCAGAGTAAGTGTTTGGGTCAAGGTCAGGGTCAAAGGTCAAGGTCAAAAGGTCAGAGTCAAGGTCAGAGTTGTTTTTTTTTTAAATTGGTATTAGTGTCAGTTAGTGTCAGTGTGTTTTAGTTAAACAAAAAACAAAATGCACACTATTGTTTCTGGGCTGTACAAACAACAAATTACTTACACATACATGGTATTGCTGTGATCGTCAAGAGCTGGAAAATTTATTTCGGGTTGTTCCTTGGTGGTAGCTTATGGTAGTAACAAGAAACACACAGCTAAATTAAAAAATTATTTTTTTTTTACTATTTTGGGACAGTTTTCCTTTGATAATAAAAAAAATCAGGAGATATCCATTACCATTTACCACCAAATGAAAGCCCAATTTGTCCTGAAAAAAACCAAAGTATAATTCACCTGGATGTACAAAGTAGTTGTGATGCTATGTACGGTTTTACTAACACATGTCAACGTTGCAAAATTGTGCTTAGGCATTAAGATTTGTTTTTACCATAGGGTGTGAAGGGGTTAGGTTTTCAGGGATGACTTCCCTTGAGCAAGCAAGCACACAAAAGTGACACATACAGTGTATAATCCTTCTCTATTTCATGATTTTTCTCTGATATTCTAACTGGCTCTCCTTGTGTCATGTCTTTTCATATGTTTGTATATTATTTGTTTGTTAAATATGTGTTTTTCATTGTGTTTTTTTTTTTCTCTGTTCTTAGTTTGTTCTAGAGTTATTTTATAGTTATTTTATAGTTCTAGAGATATTTTATATATATATAATTAAGTGTATTTCCAAATAAAATGGTTCTCGGGTCCTGAAGAAGCGGAGCTACCCCCAAAAGGCATTGACTTGCGTCACAAGACGCATTTTAGACTTAAGAAAGTTGCTTGAACTTATAGATGAATCTTTTTATGTGTTAATTCAATACATTTTGCAATTTTATACATCATTTTTTTTTCTGTTTGATTAATCTTTGTGAACCCTGGGGTATATTTAAAGTCCCACTTCAAATTACCCATTTTTATTGATCCATACAAAATGCCAGTTCTTTTTTTCTTTTTTTAGCATTCTGTTATAACCAAAATAAAACTTCTCAACATCACTTTTTCTGCAGACTGTGACTAAAAATGCATCACATGCAGTTAAATATTTGTCGTATACATCAAACAATGAAAGCGTACAATAGAATATCACTTGAATGAAGTTGTCCTGCTATTGAAGCAATGATAGACAACATGTCAGGCATGAAAAATACTCCACATAGTTAAAGACAAACTCTTGTCTATACACTTTTTTTCAACGTTTGATGCATATGACAAATATTTAATTACATATGTTGCATTATCAGTCACTTTCTGTAGAATGATGATGTTAAGATGTTATATTATGGTGAAAGTAGAATGCTGAATAAAAAAATCACCATTTTCACTTTCCCATTATACTGTTTAGCTGCTGACCTGTTGTAGGTGCAATCTCTGGTTCCTTTTGCTAATATTGACTTCAGGCTCCCCTTTTATAATAAGGGGGCTGGAACTTAACCACTTGACCTCCAGAGGATTTACCCCCCTTAATGACCAGGCCTTTTTTTGCTGTTTGGCGCTGCACTAATTCAACTGGTAATTGCGCGGTCATGCAATGCTGCACCCAAACGAAATTTACGTCCTTTTTTTCCCACAAATAGAGCTTTCTTTTGGTGGTATTTTAACACCTGTGCGCTTTTTATTTTTTGCGCTATAAAAAAAAAAAAAAAACACAAAAATTTTGAAAAAAAAACTATATTTTCTACTTTCAGCTAAAAAAATATATCGTAAACTCAAAGTTAGTCATAAGTTTAAGCCAAAATGTATTCTGCTACATGCTTTTGGTAAAAAAAATCCCAATAAGTGTATATTGATTGCTTTGTGTGAAAGTTATAGCGTCTACAAACTATGGTATAGATACTGTAATTTATGCCTTTTTTTGCTATACAGCACTTCACTAATTCAAATGATAATTGCGCGGTCATGCAATGCTGTACCCAAACGAAATTTACGTCCTTTTTTTCCACACAAATAGAGCTTTCTTTTGGTGGTATTTTATCACCTGTGCGCTTTTTTTTTTTGCGCTATAAACAAAAAAAAAAAAAAAAAACTTTGAAAAAAAACAATATTTTCTACTTTCAGCTATAAAAAATATATCGCAAACTCAAAGTTAGTCATAAATTTAAGCCAAAATGTATTCTGCTACATGTTTTTGGTAAAAGAAAATCCCGTGCATTAGCGGGCAAACTGGCGCTATATGGGAGGGGTGCTAACACTATCGGAAGTCACCAGTGACACTAATACAGTGATCAGTAAAAATCTGTTCACTGTAATCAATGACACTGGTGACAGGGCAGTGAAGGGCTTAACTGGGGAGGGGGGGGTGGGGGGCGATCAAGGGGTTAAATGGGATTACTGATGTACTGGCGGGCAAACTGGCGCTATCTGGGAGGGGCGCTAACACTATTGGAAGTCGCCAGCTACACTGATACAGTGATCAGTAAAAATCTGTTCACTGATAAATGACATTGGTGACAGGGCAGTGAAGGGGTTAACTCGGGGGGGGGGGGGGGGGCGATCAAGGGGTTAGACGGGATTACTGGTGTATTAGTGGGAAATCTGGTGCTATCTGGGAGGGGCGCTAACACTATCGGAAGTCGCCAGCAACACTGATACAGTGATCAGTAAAAATCGGTTCAATGATCAGTGACACTGGTGACAGGTCAGTGAAGGGGTTAACTGGGGGGGGGGGCGATCAAGGGTTAAACTGGATTACTGGTGTACTGGCAGGCAATCTGGCGCTATCTGGGAGGGGCGCTAACACTATCGGAAGTCGCCAGTGACACTGATACAGTGATCAGTAAAAATCGGTTCACTGATCAGTGACACTGGTGACAGGGCAGTGAAGGGGTTAACTGGGGGGGGATTAAGGGGTTAAACGGGATTACTGGTGTACTGGCGGGCAAACTGGCGCTATCTCGCTATCTGGGAGGGGCGCTAACACTATCGGAAGTCACCAGCGACACTGATACAGTGATCAGTAAAAATCGATTCACTGATCAGTGACACTGGTGACAGGGCAGTGAAGGGGTTAACTGGGGGGGGGGGAGCGATCAGGGGGTTTAAATGTGACCTAGGTGTGTTCTAACTGTAAATGTGTAGTGTTTTACTCACTTTTACTGTTTCTTCTTCTCTGTCTGGAACGGAATATGTCCAGGCAGAGAAGAATGACATCATATCCTGTCCTGTGTAAACTTCAACACAGGACAGGATAGGACAGGATAGGACAGGGACCGATCATCTGATTTCAGCCAGACATCACTGGTGTGAATGGTGTCACCTGCGGGTCAGCGGGAGCGCGCGCGCCCCCTGCCGGCGAAAAACGTCGGGAGCGCGGAACCCGTTTTAAAACGTGGTAAGCGGTTAAAGTGGAGCTCCATTTAAAAGGCTTCGTCCCCCTTCTCCCCATTGCGGATTGGCCCCTTAATGGGAGTTAAAGCAGAAGTTGTCCTCCTCCCCACCTCCCTCCCCATAGTCTTTTGGGACACGTGACAGGTTCCAGAAGACTACGGGGCCAATCACAATGTGCAGTGCTACTCGCACATGAGCAGTGGGCACCCAGCTGTCACAGCTGGGTGCCCACAATCAAGATGCCAGTACCGGGGAGAGAGGACGGCTGGTGAACCCAGCTGATGTGAGGACACCGCTGGATCAAGGGACAGGTGACTGTTTGTTTTTTAAAAGTTTAGCAGCTAGTTTTTGTAGCTGCTGACTTTTTTTCTTTATTTAGACTGGACCTCCGCTTTACCAAAGCTCCCATTATTGGCCCTTCTAAGCCTGGGCTGGGAACCTCAAACATTCCTGCTCAAAATTGTCATTTTTGTTTTGAGTTAAAAAATGCTCCTTTCAAGTTATTAGTAACTATCATTATCGGTCTGGCTTTAAAGTGTATTTCTGCTTTTGCAGACAAATTGGGATAACACCTACGTGTTATTTGTTACATGTCCCTATTCACATAGCATAACTTAAAGTGTTACTAAACCCACGTAAACACCAGTCTATCTATGCAGTAAAAAGCATGCTTGTTATACTCACTGTTGAACCGAAGGGGTTAATCCTCTGCACTGTGTAAAAAGGCTGGTTGATCCTGTCTTCTCTGATCCTCCCCTTCTTCCACAGTCCCCAATCCATCTGTTGTTAGTACATAGCCGTAGGAGGCACTCTGCACATGCTCAGTTTAGTGTGTATTGCTATAAAGTTTTTTTTTGGGGGGGTGCATGTGATCAGCACAGGGACAATCAGCACTGTCAAGACAGAGGGTCAGGGGTTATACAGCCTCACAGGACAGTCAGAGGAGAATGAAAACTCCTCCTACAAGATTAACCAGTGCTCGGCCGGACGCTGATAGAAGTCAGAAGACTGCTCTATACTACTGATGAGAAAAGGTGTTTAGCAGTTTATATTTACTAAAATGATTGCATTCCTGTGTACTGTGGGGGACCAGATATAGTGAATGCAGGGCCCTGGGTTTAGTAACACTTAAAGAAAAAAAAATTACAGCTTCAGTCTTCTTTCTTATGGCTTCACCCCAACAATGAACCCCACCCCAAAGCCTCTATTGTTATTCTGGTGCATATGCAGACATTCAAAGGGCTCTGCCTGGCCTTCGAGTCCCAGCACATTTCTGCAAAACTGGGGGATTTTCCACACATGTGTAGACACTATAAATTTGGGACAACAGCCCAGTCTTTGCATATGTGCAGGTCACTCCGTTTTTGAGCAAATGTTTGGGAAACCCGTACATGCACAAATGTGTTGCAGGTCTCTGCTGTGACCAGGGGCGGACTGACCATTTGGAAACTCGGGCAGTGCCCGAGGGCCCGGGGTCAGTAGGGGGCCCCATGAGATGCCCCTGGTACCTTTTTCATAGGCTTTTTTGAGTTTGGCAAGGACACAGGGGCCCCATGATCCCCTATTGCCCGGGGGCCCCATGAGTTGTCAGTCCGCCCCTGGCTGTGACTCAAAGTCCTGTGGCACATCTTTGTATGCACAGAATTTGGGAGGGAGGTGGGAGTAAGTACCATTCTTGCCTGGGTGGGGAATATGTCTAGGTGAGAATGTGAGACATGGTGTGGAAGGAGGAGGCAAGGAAATATTAAAGTCTTGTTAGGATGAAGGTTCACTTTAAGAGGATCAGCATGATACAAATGTCACAATTTAGTGGGAAGTACATGCACATTTACAATAACCAACTCCTTTAGAAATGCTCGGAGTACAGAGAAATGCCTGTCGATCTGTCAAATTTTGAGTGTGTGCCTAATTTGGGGGCAGCACAGTAGCTAAATGGTTAGCACTTCCACCTGGCCGTATTAGGGTCATTGGTTTGAATCTCAACCATGGCACCACCTGCCTGGAGTTTGCATGTTCTCCCTGTGCCTGTGTGGGTTTCCTCCAGGTACTCCGGTTTCCTCTCACACTCCAAAGACATGCTGGTAGGTTAATTGGCTCCTGTCTAAATTGGCCCTAGTATGTGTATGTATGGACGTGAGTTAGGGACCTTAGATTGTACACCCCTTGAGGGTTAGGGACTGATGTGAATGTACAATATATATGTAAAGAGCTGCATAAATTGACAGCGCTATATAAGTACCAGAAATAAATATAAATAATAAATAATTTCCCATTTGGGCTGACAACCCAGCACTGGTATTTCCAGCAGATATATCAGCCTCAGCTTGCTGGACTAGAGAATCCTTTCTATCCGCTGCCCCACTCATTTGATACATTGATTTTGTTTTCCAGGCCAAACAATTTTCAAAAAGCCTGGGCAAAAAACTGTGTGTAGAGAAAGGACTCTTGGGAGATGTAGTCTGGGGGGACATGCTAATGTCAATAGCAAATGAGCAGCATTCTAGCAGCCGCCCCTGAGAGAAATTTACAAGCCTGTTGATGATGTGACAGGGAGTAACAAAAGATGTTTCTTGCTACAGGAACCAAAGAAAAGAAAAAGTAAAGCTGGGAAATGGTCCAGAAGGGAAAGGGAAAGGTTCAGTGTAAACATGGGTAATACACTTTAAACTTGGCTTGGTCAGAAGTTAAACGAGAAAAGAGAAGTATGGCCAAAGTATTTTTTAGCTATACCTCTCAATTGGATCACAGCACTCCTGCAACCCGTTTTCAGTCGACAGCAGACTAAATCCCGCTGTCAGCTGATGTTACATAGGGGGTCCACCCAGAAGCCTAGCCAGCCGATGTCTCAGCCTCTCAGCTATGTTACTGGGAGACTGAGCAAGCCACCCCCTCCTCCCAGATCGGAGCTCCAGTAAATGCTGGAGCAGCAGACCAGAGAGCGGTGACTGACAGTCACCGCTCTCTGCTCAGAGCAGAAGGGAAAACTGAGCAATCAGCAATGTCTGATCATGCAGTTCTCATTGCAGAGCCAGTGGGGGACAGATGAAGCATTGGATCGATGCTGCATCCTCCTAGGTAAGTATAATCTTTTTTTGTAATTAATCCCACACTTCTCTTTTAAGGACCCACATGGAAGAAAAATATATTTGAAATATATTTTTAAAAATATTCTTCCCAAATATATTGACATGTACTTGAAATGCTACAATTTGGGCCATATTCAATATATTTCAAAATATAGTTCACTATATATATATATATATATATATATATATATACTGCATGTCGAAATGCGTTTTTATTACAAAATATATAAACAATATGTTTAAAAATATATTTCAAATATACTGTATGTCTTTAAAAATACAAATCTACATTTTTGGAATGCATTTACAAATATATGTTAAAATGACCTTTTTTATATGTTAAAAAAAATCTAAAGAATATATTTAAAAAAATATATTTTTTAAAAATATGTATATTTTTAAATATAATCTTCAGATTGTTTTTAACTTACAAAAAAGTAATTTTAACATATATTTTTAACATGCATTTGTAAAGGCATTCCAAAAAATGTAGATTTGTATTTTTAAAGACACACAGTATATTTGAAATGTATTTTAAAAAATATTTTTCATGTATTTTGTAATAAAAATGCATTTCAACATGCAGTGTATATATATATTTATTGAAATATATTTTGAAATATATTGAATATTGCCAAAATTGTAACATTTTTAAATATATGGAAATGTATTTGGAAAGAATATTTTTAAATTATATTTCAAATATATTTTTCTTCCATATGGGGACCTATGTATAGCCTGGGGCTAGGTTTCAAGAAATTCCACATAGGCCTTGGAAGATACACTATATGCCTATAGAAATAACTATTGTTGGTTAAAATAAAGTGCTATTTTCTATGAAGTTTAAATTTCTATCTCGTTCAGTTATCACTAACCCATCTTTAATATGTACTTTGGATAGCACTAATTATATCTGCTTTTTCAATTTTCTCTTGTGGAAAAAGCATTTCTGGTAAGTACATAATCATGATTATACCATATTCATTCAACTTAATGCTCCTTTACTGTGCTCATTCGAGTTGCTGATTTCTTCATTTTGTAGAATGTGTAGCAAACAAGTCGATCTAAACCCTAAAGTCATTGTACACTTTCAAATATTTTAACCTAGTTTTAGTTGTGACACATATTGTGGCTGCAATTTGTGGTGTCATGGCCAATTGATTCCCCTATGCCCATGTATTGCTACAGCTAGCCTCTCCTTAATCGCCAAAGGGACAAGATAACTTCCTGTTCTTCATCACACAGCATCCAATGCATGCATTGTCATCTACTCTGTGTCACATCAAACCTGTGGGAGTGGTAATATATTACAAAAATTATCCTTCAGCTGAATGGTGAGCTCTCTGCATGTCTGTGAATGTGTTGCTTATTTGTGTCTGTATCAGATCTAATTACTGCATAGCTCTCACCTGCAGCAGTGATAGGCTGAGAAATCTAGGGATTGTGGGATATGTAGTTTCTTCACAGGAAATATCAGACCTCACACTACAGACAGAGGTCATGCATTAACCTGCGCAGTGCCATGCCACATGCCTTATATTTTTACACTAACAGAAACTGCTGACAAAAAAATGTGACTATAGGCTGTGTGTACATGGCAAAGATCAATGTACAGTACATCTTATGCAGGTTAAAAAAAAAGGGGTTGGTAGGAACGTTCACAATGCATTTAACTGGAAGATACTTAGTTTGCTAAAGCAGCATTTTTGATTAAAAATTGGATTGTCAGGTGACCAGGTACCAGGGGCGGACTGACAACTCATGGGGCTCCCGGGCAATAGGAGATCATGGGGCCCCTGTGTCCTTGCCCACACTCAAAGCACACCCAAAAAAGCCTATAAAAAGGTACCAGGGGCATTTCATGGGGCCCCCTACTGACCCTGGGCCCTCGGGCAGTGCCCGAGTGCTCGAATGGTCAGTCCGCCCCTGCCAGGTACCATAGGCATCCAATCCCAAAATGGTCCTAATTCCAAAAAAGTCTCCCCTATGGTCAAGGAGATTGTCCTCTATTGGCCCCCAATGTTTGCCATTGAAGTTCTTTAAGCCTTTTAATGTCTCTTAAGCCTCTTTGGTTGGAAATTTTTGAATGCTCTGGTATAACACCCCACAAGGAACTCATTGATACTATTATCTTCAATGTCTATGATGAAATATTCTATTTAATAGTGACATCATGTGCAGTTCTCATAAGACTCCTGAAAAAGCCTGATTATGGTAAAACATGTTGTGCAGAAGCAGTTGTAACAATACATAAAGGCACATTTTGTCTAACCTCAGGTTTTTAACTGCATTTTATTCTTTGGTGCCTTACATTTTGTCACACAATACATCTGTATTTTTTTTTTTTTTACTTGATTTGTTGGTAATATGTGTTGGCACCATTAAAAATCCCTAATACATGCTACTCTTTGTGACAGCATTTATGCTTAGTAATTGTTAGGCTCTAGACAGGGGTCTCCAAACTTTTCATTATGAGGGCAGAATTGTATACTCTACAAAAAATTGTAGGCCACAAAAAATACCCATCAGAGCTCCCTTAGATCCAGGTCCCTATAAGAGTCCACCTTTACATCAGGGTCCTTATCAGAGCCCCTCTTACTTCAGAGTATGCCTTAGAAGTCCCTGCTTACATCATGGTCCCATTCAGAGTCCCCCGATTTGGCTCTCAGGCCATAGTTTGGAGACCTCAGCTCTAGATCATCTTTCTTGATGGTGACAAGGGTGGACCACACCAGCATGTGGTTGCACAGCCGCTTGTAGTACCACGTGGGGGATGTATGATACAGTGACAATGCAGGATCACCTAGGAATTTATCACCAGGTATTCTTTTGGTGAAAACCGTAAATTGAATAAGACAATTAAATGGAATTCAGGTTTGAAATTACATTTGCAATTGAAAGTTTATAAGAGATTCATTGGGTTTGATATCTACAAATAGTACATGTGAAAATACAGCCTGGGGCAAGGACCATGAATGTTACAGAGACTTGAATTTCCTGTTGATCGCTTTGATCAGTTCACCTAAAGCTGATATTTCAGTCATGTGTGGATTCTGGCAGGGTGTGTCACCCAATGGCATTGCGCATCAGCCAGGGATTTCACTTACAAGATTGCCCTGTTACAAATCTCCCAACCTGGAATGGAGCCTATTCTTTCTGTTGATATCTCTAATGTCCTGTAAATTACAGAAATATCAAAGAAAGAATAAGACCCTTCATAATTGCAAACCCTGAAGTTCTGGTTCTAAAACCCCTCACCAGCTCATGGTAGACAAATATGAAACTCTCAGCTGATTTGACCTTCCAGTATAATGTTAGAGGGGACTATAACTAATCCAATGGAAACCACTATAGCAGCAGGGCTGGGACAAGAGGTAGGCAGGAATGCCAGTTGCCTTAGGCACTTCCGCAGATAGAGTGCACAAAAAAAGGTAAAACTTGCAAACTTTGCTGCTAAGATAATTCACAGATCATGGAGTAGAGACACATTTTGGCCTTTGCACCCTGGGTGCTAAATGACGCCGCAGCACTGTTCAGGACATCATTGACAGAACCACCAGAAAACTTTTAGCAGCTTCTTGGTAGGGCTGTCCTCTGCAATCACCCTGCTCTATTCTTCCATGTATTCAAGTCTCCCATCAATGACAGACTCTTATCTTAGGTCAATGGTCTCCAAACTGCGGCCCTTTGCTTTCTTTTATCTGGCCCTTGGTGCATTGGTCCATCCACTGACGTCAACAAAGGGGCATAATTCCTCCCAATGACACCAGTAATGGGGCACTATTCCTCCCACTGAGACCACCGATGGGGCACTATTCCTCCCAATGCCATCAATGATGGGGCACTATTCCTCCCACTGCTGTCAACGATGGGACATTGTTCCTTTTACTGCCATCAACGGTGGGGCACTATTCCTCCCACTGCCACCAGCGATAGGGGCACTATTCCTCCCACTGCCACCAACTATGGGGCACTATTCCTCTCACTGCCACCAACGGTGGGGCACTATTCCTCCCACTGCCACCAAAGGTGGGGCACTATTCCTCCCACTGCCATCAACGGCAGGGCACTATTCCTCCCATTGCCATCAATGGTGGGACACTATTCCTCCCACTACCATCAATGGTGGAACACTATTCCTCCCACTGACACCAACGATGGGGCACTATTCCTCCCACTGATAGCAAAGATGGGGCACTATTCCTCCCACTGACACCAATTATGGGGCACCATTCCTCTCACTGCCACCAACTATTGGACACTATTCCTCCCACTGCCACCAATGATGGGGCACTATTCCTCCCACTAACACCAACAATGAGGCACTATTCCTCCCACTAACACCAACAATGAGGCACTATTCCTCTCACTACCACCAACAATGGGGCACTATTCCTCTCACTGCCTCCAACGATGGGACACTATTCCTCCCACTGCCACCAGCGATGGGGCACTATTCCTCCCACTTACCACAATCCAGCCCCCCTTAAGTCTGAAGGACAGTAAACTGGCCCTTTGTTTAGAAACTTTGGAGATCCCTGTCTTAGGTGATGGTAGGTATTATATCCTGTCACTGTTCCAGTACACTTTTCCTCAGCCAGACAGTCCACAGAGTTCCACACAAGCACATTTCTTTTACAGTAATGTTGAATACCGATGGTTGAATCTGCCTGAGTTCGATTTACTATGGCTTTGGTGAATTTTGTTTGAAATTCAGCTGTTCTGTTTCAAGCACAGCTTTATGCATTGACATACCACCTTTAGACCTGTAGGCCCGTCTGTCCAGTATGAGCGTCTGCTGAATAAGTGCCCGATTATACCATTCAGAAAAACATTAATAAAGAAGATGTAATAGCACAGAATTGACGCTAGATATCATCAAGACATTTATACCTAATTAATTAAATCCAATGCAACTGTAATGGATGCATAATAAGTGTACCAGAACCCAAACTTAGAAGTGAATCCTGTTGAAATCTATGACAGTGGATTTGATTTTTTGTTTACTTTTACAATTAGCTTGGATTACATACAGCAGCACCGAAACTGATTGATTGCACTTTGAAAAAAGGGCTTTAATCAAGTAGCTTTAACAGCAACATATGCTTTTTTCGTCAAATAGAAATTGACGTGCTTTTATTGGCTGATAGAAATTGGCTAGTAGTTTGCTGTGGCTGTTCCTGTTCTTGCTGATGCAAACTGTCTTACCACTTGCCATTTTCTATTAAGCCCTCTCTGCCCAGTGTCATTAGTGGCTAAATGGTTAGCATGTCTGCCTGCTAGCACTAGGGTCGTTGGTTCGAAATCCTAACCACAGCACCATCTGTCTGGTGTTTGCATGTTCTCCCTGTGCCTGTGTGGGTTTCCTCTGGGTACTCTCGTTTCTTCCCACACTCCAAAGACATACTGGTAGGTTAATTGGCTCCTGTCTAAATTGGCCCTAGTATATGAATGTAAGTTAGGGACCTTAGATTGTATGCCCCTTGAGGGTTAGGTACTGATGTGAATGTACAATATATGTAAAGTGCTGTGTAAATTGACAGCACTAAATAAGTACATGTAATAAATAGTACAGTGTCAGTGCTTTTTATTAGCACTGATCACTATATTAGTGTCACTGGGGATGTCAGTGGCAGTTAGTCAGTTTCCACCCAATGTCAGAATGCCTGCCGCTGTCCCGCTATAAGTCCCTGATCACCGCCATTACTAGTATAGAAAAAAAAATCCAGTATAAATACCGCCATTCGTAGATACTACCACATAACTTTCAAGTAAACCAATTAATTTACACGTATTGGGATTTCTTTTTAGCAAAGACATGTAGAAGAATACATTTTGGCCACAATGTATGATGAAATCAGATTTTTAAAAATTTTTTATTAGATAGGTTTTATAGCAAAAAGAAAAATATTGTTTTTTTTTTTTCAAAATTGGTCTTTTTTTGTTTATAGCACAAAAAATAAAAAATGCAGAGGTGATCAAATATCACAGAAAGAAAGCTCTATTTGTGGGGAAAAGGGGCCATAAATGTCATTGATTTACAGCATTGCATGACCGTGCAATTGTCAGTTACAGTAACACAGCTCCGTATTGCAAAAAATGGCCTGGTCAGGAAGGGGTTAACCCTTCCTGTCCGGACACTTTTACCCCCTTCCTGTCCAGGGCAATTTTCAGCTTTCAGCACTATCACACTTTGAATGACAATTGCGCGGTCATGCAATTCTGTACCCATATGAATTTTTTACCATTTTTTTTGAGACAGATAAAGCTTTATTTTTGTGGTATTTATTCACCAGTGGGATTTTTATTTTTTTTACTATGTAAATGAAAATGTCCAAAAATTTTGAAAAAAAGTTTTTTTAATAAAATTTTGCAAATAAATAATATTTCATCATAAATCTTGGGCAAAACTTATTCCGTTATTTTTTTTAGTAAAAAAAAAAATCCAAATTAGTTTATAACCAAAAATTATAATTTTTAAACATTTTTTTTACATTTTTTTTTTTTTTTTTTCCAAAAAACAAGATACAAATTTTCACACGAAAATGTACAGAGGAAATGCACATAGGACAAACAGCAAAACATAAATCATACAAAGGCAAATGAGGTCCAACGCAAGACCAAACAGTGTGGATGAACTAGGCCACGACAGGGTTGTGCCAGCAATATTTAGGTATGCTTGTCAAGTGCTAAAAATAAAGAGACGTCTGGCCTTCCACCATAACGTCTAGCGATAAAAATCTGTAGGGGGGAAAAGAGCAGTACGATGCCTATGTGAGAGTCAATAATACAGAATACGATGGTGGAATTGTGCGAATGTAGGAGTAATTGTCGTGGGAACCGCGAACGAATTGCGGGAGGTGATGCTGACCGCATACTCAGTGTGCTATCGGAAAAAGTGTCCAAAACGTGTAAAAGCATATGAAAGAAAAGAAAAGAGAAGGCGAGAGAAAAAAAAAAAAAAGGGGGGGGACAGAAAGAAGAAGAGGGGGGGAGAGAGAGAAGAAAAGAAAAAAAAAAAAAAAGAAAAAAAAAAAAAAAAAAGGGGGGGGGAGGGGGGGGAGGAGGAAGGGAAGCAAGTGGGGAGGGCAAAATAAGAGAAGGGACAACCGACAAAAAGATCTTATCCTCCAGACAAACAGTAGCGGGAGTGGGTAGAACCTAAGCTATCAGCGGCGTCAAAGGAAAGCGTGTGTAACACAGGGGGGAGTATGAGGACACCCTCAGGTCAAATACCACTAAATAACACTATCAGGAAGTCCAAATTAGGTTTTAGACAGATTGGTCCATGAGGGATCGATATTCCGGGGTAGTCAGAAAATGGGTCCAGCAGGCCCATACATGAGAGTTTTCGTAGGAGTATCGAGGGCAGTCGCAACCAGTTCTTCCATGTCCGCCGTTTTACCCACTCGAGTGAGCCATTCACGGATAGAGGGAGAGCGTGTGGAGCCCCATAGAACCGGAATACAGAGTCTGGCTGCGTTGATCATGTGCATGGCTAATGATTTAAAATACTGAGCCCTGGGAAGGGAAGAGTGATGGAGGAGGAATTGGGCAGGAGAGAGAGCTAAGGGTAAAGTAGTTATAGACACTACTAACCTATGGACCTCCTGCCAAAATGGTTGAAGAAGGGCAAGACCACCAAATGTGAAGAAAGGACCCATCCGGGGTCCCGCATCTCCAGCAGCTGTTGGGGAAGGCGGGGTTAAAATGATGAATTCTTGAGGGAGTTCGGTACCATCTAGAGGCTATTTTGTAGCTGTTTTCTTGTGTCGAGACATTGAGGGAACATTTATGAGAGTATTGGAAAACCAGGTCCCAGTCGGAGTCCGACAACTCAGCATTAAGATCTCTCTTCCAAGCCCGACACGCGGGGAGGGAGTCATAAGACTGGCTCTCCACTAGAAGTGGGTAGATCTCCGAGATCAGATGTTTCCGTGGTTCAGCCTTCGCGCATGCAGATTCAAATGGGGTAAGAGAGCGATGCCAGTTATGAGGGGGGTTTATGAGAGAGCAGATAATGTCTGATCTGGAAATATACCCAGAAAGGGAATTCGCGAATACCCAGGCTTTCCTGCAGTTCACTGAGCGTTTTCACCTTGCCTTTGTGAGAAAATGTTTCACTAAGATCTGTTTGTGCGGCCAGTGTTTCATTAAAAAATCTTTATGCATCCCAGGGGGGAAGTCAGGGTTGAGGCGTATAGGGGTCAGGGGGTTGGGTGTGTCAGAAATGGCAGCAGATCTACAAGCCGATCGGAAAATTTTTAACGTAGGTCCCACCAAGGGATGGGTGAGAAGAGCTTGTGGCGTGTGTTTCGGTGAGAGCCAAGGAATCGATGCCAGGGGGAAGGGCGAGCAAGCATTCTCTATAGATATCCAGTCTTTGGAGGCAGTATGAACGTGCCAATCAACTATCCGGGAAAGATGACAAGCCCAATAGTAGCGGTAAAGATCAGGAAATCCTATGCCCCCTTTAAGTTTAGAGAGGGTTAATTGGGAGTAGGCAATACGTGGACGTTTGTGGCTCCAAAGGAACAGAGAACACAGTCTTTTGCAAGAAGCAAAGAAAGCAAGAGGTAAGTGAATTGGTAATGTTTGGAAGAGATACAGGAGACGGGGAAGTACATTCATTTTAATGATCGCTGCCCTTCCAAACCACGAGAAACAGGGACGGTGCCATTTATTGAGGTCTTCTTGCATAGAGCGAAGAGCGGTAAGATAGTTTTTCACATAAAGGTCATCAAGGTTACTGGTGAGCTGGATACCGAGATAAGTTAGGGAATCCCTTTCCCAATGAAATGGGAATTGGGCCTCACAAGCAGAGACCAGCTCAGCAGACAAAGTAATGTTAAGGGCGGCAGATTTGGAAAAATTAATTTTAAATTCGACAAATATCTAAAAAAGGCAAAGTCTTTCAGTAGGTTCGGGAGGGTGATGTGAGGGTCCGCCAGGAACAAGAGAATATCATCCGCATAAGCTGCAAGCTTATATTCCTTGTCTGCCACCGTGATTCCTTTAACATCAGGGTTTAAACGAATTTTCCGCAACAGGGGCTCAAGGGATAGGACAAACAAAAGCGGGGAGAGGGGCATCCCTGACGTGTACCGTTCCGTAGATGAAAGGAGTTTGACAGATGACCGTTCACCCGGACCCGGGCAGTAGGTGCAGAATAGAGGGCCATAATAAAGTTAAGCATCTTCTCACCCAGACCCAGTGCCACTAAAGATGCGTTCAGGTAATCCCAGGCAATCCTGTCAAAGGCCTTTTCTGCATCCAAGGAGAGGAAAAAACCCGGGGTGTTAGACCTGTGAAGCCAGTGGTGGAGATTAAGGGCCTTGATAGTGTTGTCCCTCGCTTCTCTACCAGGGATAAATCCTACTTGGTCCAAATCGACCATGGAGGGAAGCAAGGGAAGAAGACGATTAGCAAGGATCTTAACGAATAGTTTGACGTCCACGTTCAGCAAGGAAATGGGTCTATAATTGGAGACCTGGGTGGTGTCCTTCCCGTCTTTGGGGATAACTGTAATGTGAGCCTCCAACAGGTGGTTAGGCGACCCTGAAGGTTGAGCAAGAGTGTTAAAAGCAGCGAGAAATGGAATACCCAGTATATCTAAAAAAGATTTATAATAGGCTGCTGAAAAACCATCAGGGCCCGGGCTCTTCCCCGGTTTCATCTGTTTTACTGCGGATTGCAGTTCAAGGAAGGTGAGATCATTTTCCAAAGCGTGCACCAGATCCTCTGAGAGGGCGGGTGAACCGTAGAGATGGAGAAATTCAGAGATCAAGGCAGTTCTAGATCTGTCCGAATGGATAGGGGGGCGTTCCTGAGGGAGGTTGTAGAGAGATTTATAGTAGCGTTCAAAATGGGCGGCAATATCGGGGTTGGATGTAGCCTCAATGCCATCAGAGCCTCTGATTTTATGCACCGTCATACTAGCCCGTTTTTTCACGAAGAGCTCTGGCTAGAAATTTCCCGCTCTTGTTTGCGAACTCGTAATACAGCTTATGTGAAAGAATGAATCTTTTTCTAACCACCTTACCCAGTTCCGTGAGAAGCTGCGTGCGTGTACTCGTGAGTTCCAAAAGAGTCGACGCAGCCAGAGTCTGTTTGTGTACTCTTCCCAAAGAGCGGATCCTATCTGAGAGGAGCTTCAGACGCTCCTGTTTGGCTTTCTTACGTCTCGTCGCAATGGCTATGAGGCTGCCCCGAATGACACACTTGTGGGCCTCCCATCGTGTGATGGGTGAGGTGTCTGACGAGCTATTCAAGGAAAAATATTCAACCATACTAGAGCGGAGCTCTTGAACAATAGCGGCATCTGCAAGAAGGGAAGCATCCAAACGCCAGTATTTGGAGCGCGGGTGCGAGATGGGGAACCGTAGCGTCATGGAGATGGGATGATGATCGGAAAGGACCATCGGTTCTATGGTAGCCGCATGGAGGAGAGGGAGATCTGGTTGCGACAAAAAAAAATAGTCTATCCTAGAATACTTATTGTGTGGTGGGGAAAAAAAAAGTATAATCTTTAACAGTGGGGTAAAGTGTACGCCAGGTGTCATGTAATTGTAGAAGCTGTAATTGTATATGTATTTGCCTGAGGGCCTTGTAGGGTAAAAAAGAACTACCCGAGGAGGAGTCTAGCAGAGGGCTCAAAGGGACATTCAGATCGCCTCCAAGTATCAGTAACCCTTCCTGGAAAGCGGCTAGGTCAGAGACGATTGAGCGCAGGAAGGAGACCTGTTGAACATTGGGGGCATAGACATTGGCGAATGTGATAGGTCTGTTAGCGAATACTCCCTTTATAAACAGGTATCTACCTTCAGGGTCCACCATGGAATCCGTTATATGAAACTGGAGGTGTCTGGCGAACAGTATCGCAACCCCCTTAGACTTAGCCAGGGGGTTGGTGGCGTGGAGGACTGTGGGGAAGCAGAAATTGTAAAGCTTTGGAATGGAGTCTTGGCGAAAATGTGTTTTTGTAAAAAGACCACATCCGCTTTCTGTTTGTGTAAGTAAGAGAGGAGCATGGAGCGCTTTTCGGGTATGTTCAGACCTTTGATATTAAGTGAAAGGAGTTTCAGAGACAATTGTGCCGGTTGTGAGGTGGAAGAAAGCATGACTGCTGGAAGGCGAAGCTTGAGTCCGAAGCTTCGGTATGCCGAGGATTCGGGGGATGGGAAAAGGAAGGGGGGAGGGAAAAAAAAAAAAAAAAAAGGGGGGGTGGAGGTGGAAAAGAAGAAAATAGATAGGATACGGCTTGAGGAACAGACCCGCTGTTCCACACGTGAGAGAAAGAGAAACAGGAAAAGGGGAAAAGGACGGGAAAAAGGAAGAGAAACACAAAGATAAAAGAGAAGCTCAAAAAAAAGATAAAGATAGAAGCCGAAAGAAAAGGATCAGTGGAAGCTCGCCGAGCTCACTGTGTGGGGAACGAGGTCGGCGTAAAACCAGGAAGTGCGCATCCGCCGGCCGGTAGCCCCCTATGGGAAATTATAAAAAAAATAAGGCAAGAATAAGGGGGCGGGGTTCGAGAGAGATAAGAGGTGTCAGGAGTCCGCAGGGGTGGAGCACAGGGAAGGTTTGGGTACCGGTCTTCCGTGGGGGATGAAGTGTTATGTAACATGCAGAAGAAGAAGACCTGGGCAGATTTATTAGAAGTATCGCGAGTGAAATATTGCCGAGCGAGGGGTCTAGCTATACGTAGTATTAAAGAAGTGTAAAGGCACATACAGAGTGACCGCATTGGGAAGGACAGCCTAAGCCAAGGTGAGCGTAAGACAGTAAAGGGGCACCTCGCTAAA